TATTTTCAAAATGAACGCTAATGCTCCAAGTGTTAAATCTCAAATTCGAACTCCGACCCATCTCCTTCGATTTTTCCAGCTATATATTATTGGTAGTCATAATACAAAAAATATAGACCGAATTTGTGTATATAAGCCTGTATATAGTTTCTGAGTTTTGTTGAAGAAGCAATTCTAAACTCAGTCTGTGGCTATAGACCTTTGATTCAATGTCCTTGATTCATCTTCAGTCCCTTAAATTCATTCTTTGACTTCCCTGAATTTTAAGTTTAGTGCTTTATTGTACATTGTATTCCCTAATTGCGATTGTCCCTTTAAAACAAGATTTCCTGTTAGTAACGGTTTGTAATTTATCGTTGTTGCCATTCAGAACTTTGGTGATATATATGCATCCTATTTGTGGCTTGTCAGTTGGATGTACCTAGATCATCGTTTTGATGTCAACAGTGAATTCGGACTCCAGAACGTTTTGGTTCACACACTAACGCTCTACCTTTTGACATAGTGTGTTCTAGTAGCTCAGTGGATAACGCGTTAGCATTTGTTTCAGAATACTGGGTTCGAGTTCCATAATATGTTTATCTTTCTCTGATTGTTGTCTCATTTTCTTTTCCTCCTTTTAATTATCATTCATAATGATGATTTGAGCTTTGATAACATAAGTGTATACACAATACTGCTATGTCTCAAACAAACAACACTAAATGAATTTATGTCTCATGTAGTTTACAACTAAACCATAACTTATTTTACACTAAAGATAAAACTTTTTCTTTAAACTTGACTTAATTTTGAGTTTCAATTTATGCCTTTTGCAATTACATGCATCGTTGGGTAGGACAGCGACTTTACATCAATACTTTTGTCATCATAGGGATTAGTAAGTAGATTAGGTGTGTAGACAATCGTTCCATTCATATACATCACTGAATATAATCACCTGTAAACAATATTGCTCTCTAATTTGAAGTTACAGTTTCATTTACCCTCCATTTTTAGTTACGTTTCAACCACAGAAATAATTTAATGATTTTTATCATACATAATAGAATTTACTGTTAAAATCACTAAATCAAACATTCCATTCATTTCTCCGAGTAAACAAATAAATTCGTTTTAAGCACCTTACAAAAATATTCATGTCATTTTATATTGTATCCTCATTATAACAAAATTGAACACTTTTCAATCCAGGTTTATTCACTTGTATTGTTTTTTTAAAGAACTTTTCAACTGTAAATTATTTGTATTTATGCTCTCTTTGTTTTGTCTGTTTTCATGGCATATATTTATCTTTATGTGTGTCATAGTTTCGTCGGTGGTTTATGGCATGTGGAACTTTCTAACAATTATTTGGTTATACCAAATAGTCGATCTATAAATCAATACTACTCTTCCACTCAGTTGTGCTTTAACATCCAACTTTTTGGAGTTCACTTATCAGAGTGTTTATTTCCTAGTCAAACCATAACGACAACAGCGACAACAAAGAAAGCAAATGAACCGAGGACACAAAATATAAAATTGGAATCATTTGAAGTTAGTTTAATTAAAATTCTTTATTTTTTCGATCTAGAATTGTGTAATAATTCGTTTTCATTCACAACACACTTTACACTAGTAATAATAATACTTTTCGAAACGATATTAGACATATCATACATGAATTTTGATGATATGACAGACTACGACTAAGAAAAATTATGATTTTGTTTGACAAAGGCACTCTCGTTTAGAAAATATCTTCGAACTTGCTGATTCTAATGTTCAGTCTATACTGTAGATTTTATAGTAGTCAATTTTAAACCGTACTCAAAGCAAATTTCTCGATAGAAATTCTTACTTACTTACGCCTGTTACCCCTCGTCGAGGAGCATAGGCCGCTCACCAGCATTCTCCATCCAACTCTGTCCTGAGCCTTCCTTTCCAGTTCTTTCCAGTTACTATTCAGCCTTTTCATATCGGCTTCTATTTCCCGGCGTAGTGTGTTCTTTGGCCTTCCTCTTTTCCGCTTCCCTTCCGGATTCCAAGTTAGGGATTGATTCGTGATGCACATTGGTGATTTCCTTAATGTATGTCCGATCCACTTCCAACGTCTTTTCCTAATTTCCTCTTCAGCTGGAAGCTGGTTTGTCCTCTCCCATAGAACGCTGTTGCTGATAGTATCCGGCCAGTGGATGTTGAGTATTTTGCGTAGACAACTGTTTATAAATACTTGTACCTTCCTGATGATGGCCGTAGTAGTTCTCCACGTTTCAGCTCCATACAGTAGGACTGTCTTGACGTTCGTATTAAAGATTCTCACCTTGAAATTGGTTGAGAGTTGTCTTGAGTTCCATATGTTCTTCAATTGTAGAAATGCTGCCCTTGCTTTGCCAATCCTCGCCTTTACATCTGCATCCGATCCTCCTTGTTTATCAACGATGCTCCCCAGGTACTTGAATGTTTCCACCTCTTCCAGAGTTTCGCCGTCAAGTGTGATTGGGTTGGTGTTCTCCGTGTTGCATTTGAGAATCTTGCTTTTTCCTTTGTGAATGTGGAGACCTATCGATGCGGAGGCTGCTGCTACATTTGCTGTCTTCATCTGCATTTGGTCGTGTGTATGAGAGAGGAGGGCTAGGTCATCTGCGAAGTCCAAATCATCTAATTGATTCTGAGCTGTCCATTGTATTCCGTATTTCCCTTCAGATGTCGAATTCTTCATAATCCAGTCAATCACTAGAAGGAAGAGGAATGGGGAGAGTAGACAGCCTTGTCTGACTCCGGTCCTTACTGGAAATGCATCTGTCAGCTGTCCTCCATGCACCACTTTGCACTGTAATCCATCGTATGAGTTTTGGATAATGTTGACGATCTTCTGAAGAACTCCATAGTGTCGAAGAAGTTTCCACAATGTTCTCCTATCCACGCTGTCAAACGCCTTCTCATAGTCGATGAAGTTGACGTATAGTGATGAGTTCCACTCAACTGATTGTTCAACGATGATCCGTAGTGTCGCAATCTGGTCTGTGCACGACCGGTCCTTACGGAATCCAGCCTGATGATCCCTAAGTTCGGCGTCTACTGCGTCTTTCATCCGATTCAGCAGCACTCTGTTGAAAACTTTTCCTGGTACTGAAATTCGTATACACATTATTTTTGACTTTTTACCTGTAAGACTAAATGGCTGGTTAGAAAATTTAACATGCAGTCACGGTCGTCAGTATCTTATTATTGTAGACTAAAGTAAGATGTGTAGTTAGCACCACGTAATAGTTTCAAATTAGTATGCTATACTCTTAACTTACTATTGTGTTGGAAGAAACCTAAGGTCGGTTGCATCACAATCAGGTATGAGTCCTTGGTTTTATTGGTTGTTGATTAAGTAGCTTATGGGGGATATGTATGCTTCCTGATCGGTATTTGCGTAATAACCTGTTATGTCCTGATAAGAATTATGAATGATAACTTTTGAGAACTATTTATCGACCATTATGATACATGTATTTTTATTGTATAATTGTTAAATAACTAAACTATTCATATCCGTGTCCCCTTTATCATAGGCTTTATTTTGACCTATGAACTATTATTATCCTTATTCACAGCCACATGTGGCTAAATCTTGTACAAATGTTGTTTTCCTATTTATGGTACGACGTGGTCTGTCTGTTTGGTATATACCCGGTATGTTTGAAATAAATGATTCATGCCGCAGAGACTGAGATTGATGTTCTGGACTTAACTGGCTGAGCTAGGCAAAAAATGGAATCGATAAGTACTCTAGATTGATCGTACGGGATTCGTGTGTCATTGGTCCAATCGATAATTCACTGCTCTCTAATTTGGCGGTATATTACATTAACAGAGCATCCAGGCCATAAGTTATAGCATAACCAAAATATATTGCTGGAAGTTATCAGTTTTGTGTCTTACACTTAATTGTCATTAAACAACTTCATTCACTCTACTATCTTCACCTGAATCTTATTCTTCTTTACCTTTCGTTTCCGACTCCTTATTTTCTCAACTTATCTTTAATCATACACTTTTGTTATAATCGTCATTCACTAACCTTTTTCTCATTTATTTCATATTAGTTTGCTAATTAAAGGTGTGATTACGTAAAACGGTACACATATGTCTCAAGTGTTGATTTACAAGTGACTCTCTTTATGATTAATAACAACTAATTCTTTGGTTTGAGATGTATTATAAGTATCCGTATGATATCAGTCAAAGTCCTTCTAGTTCCCTACCCTTGTTCACTATCCTGAGAAAATTTTCTGACTCCGAACCTTACCAGTTGTATGTGAGATTTGAGTGAAATACAATTTATTGGGTTATCAAGGTCAATAAGAATAACGACAACTACTTCAATGAACGTATTTCTAGTTTCTTTTCAAATCAAATCGACTAAGAGATTCAGTTATAAGCGCAGACATTCTCAGTGATAGAACAAAAAATGTATTCTGATACTAGTTGTTTATATTCATTGACAGTATTTGGGTTCTAGCCTGCATATGATATTTAATGTGGTTTACTTAAGTTAGATGTTCTTCTATCATCTTTTCTAATTTCTTTTCCTTACTTCTAGAAAAAAATATTCACGTTTTGTAGTACACTTTTAAAGTTAGTGCTAAATGCCTAAATATCTTTTTTCTCTTGAATTGAGAATGAATTTTATGTTTTAACTTCATAAAAATTTATATAAACTCTTTGTAGGAATTCAATCCAGTCTTCATTATTGTACCCAATCAATTGTACTTCGAAATATTGTTTACGGTCCGTTAATCTTTACTCCTTGTTTGTGAATATGTAAATGTCGACCGATACATCGTCCTAGTAGCTTTTATTTACATCATCTACATGGACAGGTGAAGTAGGGTTTTTTGTCATTATATGTCAAATCTTCTAATACCTATAGAAAAGCATAACTACATATTTGTCTAAAATAATTAGTCCCTTCTATAAATTTGGATGGTTTAATTATAATAAGATTATCAGAACTATGTGATAGATGTGCACAATATATTTCGAACAATCTAATCACACATATACTTGTCAAGAACATTTATATGTGTAAAATTAAAAGATCAACTGGACAAATGAAAGCATACGAGGAAACATAGATCATAAAGAAAATAATGTGAAACTCATCACGCTGGATGATAAAACAATATTACCAAGGTTTTAAGTTAAAGTTTTCGTGTCGTCAAGGTTTCAAACAAATTTAATCAACGTCCTTTATCACATCTGTACAACACCACAAAAGCCGAGTTAAGGTCAATCTTATGATCTGTTTCATTCGTTTAGCAATCGAAGATGAACGCTTATCATCTCTTATTAGGTCATTTGATTTTATATGCCTTAACAATCACTTTGGTATATGATTATTCACCCTAATTTCCTAGTCACGATTGCTCTTCTCTATGTATATGTGGCCACTTATACACTTAAACTGATATACTCAGTAAGACGTGGCGCAGTCGTTTACATGCCGTTTAGGTCTTTGGTGAAGCATGGCTCTTCTTTTTTCTACAATGATTACCTTTACTGCATAGTGCGTTTTACTTACAACTGATCTGAAACTTTGCTATTTGACTCACCTCTGAAATAGTAGGGTGATGTATACAGGTTTTTCGGTTACGAAATTGTAGTAGATCTCACTATACTGTAACCTTCCCATTCATTTGTAAATTCTAAAGGATAACCATTCTCTATCAATGTTTTATTCAGTAAATTCACTTCATCATCAACGGTATCGTTTGTACAAATAACACCAATCCTAATAAATTGACCCTTTTTTATTGAACTGTGCAATGACTATGATAACTAAGATACTGGTCTACCCAAGTTGACTTTCTAAAAATGGATCATCCTATTTAACCATATCTTCTACTTATAAGAATGTATAAGAAAGGAAGCTGATTATTATCTTCATTTCCTCTCATGCTTCCATTCGTCTAGTTTACCCTTTTAATTTTTCACGTATAAATGTTCTTAACATGTATATATGTGATCAGTGTTCGAAACGCACTGCACAAATCTACCACATAGTTCTGATAATCTTCATCTTATTACGCTATCCAAACAGATTTGTTGTTGCGTATGATGATAAATGTAGTTTACCAGTTTACCTCTTAAATAAGGTTACACTATGTGATAATGTTATCATTTATCACCCTGATACAACGATGTTTTGTACAAACAAAGGTAATCATAAAAGTTTTTTTAGCGCTAATAAAATTTTTTTTACATTGTTTACTATTTACATACACTGGTCAATTCGTCTTAGAAGGTCATATTGTAGACAAAATGATGTAAGTAAAGAAAAAAACGTGGTGTTCCGGGTAAATTGATAATAGAAAAAATATATATAGCACATAAAGCTAAATGAATACAATAGATGGTATGCTAAGTTGAGATCATTGTACTTTCTGTATGTGCGTTTGTCAACAGTATCTTTAGATATGTATGTATCAATGAAGTTTCTGTGTATAGTGTGTTCACTTTGTTTTATTAATTAGCTTCATAGTGTAAACGATGGTTTCTTACATCTTTTTTCACCATTCATATAATTATTATTATCATTATTGAGCTCATTTGTTTGGGGTTGGTTTTTTTAAGGCTTTCTCAATGAGTTTGTAATTAGTATTATTCACAGTATTATTATTATTATTATTATTGTTATTACTATTTTGTTCAGTAGTAAAATTCAACTTCGAATGATTATCTTCTTTCATCATTGTTGCTGCAGACTGTGGAAATCTGGCACTTCTTAATGGTTTAACGTTTATAGTTTTTGATTTCAGTGATGGTTGTAGTGTCAATGTTGAGAAAGGAGGAGAAGATGAATGAAATGATGAACTATTTGCATTATTATTCACTTCAGTATTGTCTTCATTCGACTCAATATTTGATAATAATATTTTATTACCGTTCGATTTTATTAATTTTGGTTTGTTGTTGAGGATGAATGGTGGAGGTGGTGGCGGCGGCGGTGGTAATGGCAGTTCATAATCTAGTGGCCAATATTTGTCAGATTTCTTGTTTTTGTTCAATTCTGATCCTCGTGTGGGATTATTGTTTTTACTCTTATTGTCATTTTTGTTATCGGAAAATGTTTGAATACTGTATGTATTATCCCCTGTTATTTTAAGCTTTTGATGTCTCGGTGGTCGTATTGGTCTATTATTATTATTATTATTTATCCCAGTTGGTTGGTTACTAGAAGTAGGATGAGGTAGTGTGCTGGTACTATTATTATTAATAGTATTCAAAGTGTTTGTAGGTGGTGGTTTTACTGAAGCGATCGGAGTTGGTTGTTGTTGCGGTGTTGAATTGAATGGATTCATTAATATCATATTGGGATAATTTATCGGCTCAATATGTATTAAGTCAGTGACGTATTCGTCAATTGGTGATTTTTTAGTGATTGATTTCATTTGATTACTGAGTAATTCCGTTGTTGTCTCATCGGATGACAAAATCATTGACTTATCATGGTACATTGGTAGATAATCTGTATGTTTGATCTGCTGTGGTTCTATGAATGGTGTAGCGTATTCTGGTTCTTTAGGTAATAAGAAAAAAGGTTTCGGCAATTCAGGACCTAGAAATTTCACATCACTTTCACTGTGCACTTGTCTTGGTTTCGGTTGTGTTGGTGTTGATAGTGGATGACTGTCTCTCTTGAACATTCGGTCACGTTTCAACCATTTACATGTTTGTTCAATTTTACGTCGACTTGCAGATAACCAGTTATTTCTTAAGTTTATATTACTCTTCTCATTATTCTCTAGTCTAGCTCGGGCGGAAACTATTAGTCTAGTTCTTCTAAACACACCTTTTAGGCTTGTTCTACTACTTGTTAGTATGGATTTTCCAGCCTTTATACTTGCAAAATCACTATTATCTAGACTTTTGTCTCTCCATGGTAGGGCACTACGACGAATGCTATCAACAGATACAGGGGAACGTTTCTTCTTCGTATCATAATGTCTTAATAAATAAACTGGCGCTTCTGTTGGTTGTTGCATTGACTGCTCTTCCATCTTCTTCATGGCTAATTGCTTAGCACTTCTCCGTAGATTAAATGACATCATTCCGGTTGATAAATGTGTTGGTGATTCAATTCTTGTGTTCTGATGTAAATCTCCTATACTCTTGCTTTTACGCGGTGCAGGTAATGGTGGCAGTAGAGCATCAAATGGCTGTCTAAGTGCTCTCACTGACTGATTATTATCAATCTGTAAAAGAGTTTGAACACTTGCACTCGCCTGTAAAGGTTTTCCATCTATATAAGTGCTTCTCTGGCTCTTCCGTCCCCTCAGATGAGAATTAACTGACAAATCTGGTTGACTATTTTTTCTTACTTGTAAAATTGATTTTTTCCCATCATCGGAGCATTCAGAAGCACGATTCGATTCAATAATATGAGATCTTTTTCTATCTCGGTTTCTCTGTGTTTTGCTCTTAAATACAGATTTCTTATCAGTATTATTAATGTTGATAAATCGATTTAATGATTGTGTTTCTACATCAGTCATTTCTGAATAAATTGAGCTAGGAATTCTTTCATTATTCAAATTTTGTACATTATTTGCATGATTTGCAAAAATACTATTTTGTGTTTCATTACTATCTTCTCTTCTATGTGATTTTGGTCGCATTAATTGATGACTAGTTTCATTTGTGCTTGATATACAAGGTAAATGTTGCATTGTACAACCACAAAATAAACATTGTTGTCGTTTATTATTTGTACAATTACTACATGATGTAAATAAATTACAACTTGGTGATAATGAATAACATTCAAATTTTTTAAATGATTCACTTACTTTATTTAATCGTCTATTAAAGAGTTTTCTATGCTTGACAGATGATGATATTATATGTTTATGATGTGTATTTCGTTTTAATCGTATACATAACCAAATAATAATAATAACACTAATGATTATAAAACATAATGCAGCTATTCCAGCTAAAATAATTAAAGTGTATGCTTCATTCGATATTGTTGTTGCATTCTCCAATATAATTGATGGACTACCGTATAATGTATTTTTAACTCCAGTTCGAAATATCATTTCTTGTCGTGTTTGTAAAATTTCTTCTAAATTTGGACTTTGTGTTTTATTTAATTTCCAGCATGGTTTTAATGTCTCTAATGATTTCATATCTTTACCATAAATATCTGGTCTAATCTTACAATCAATATGTTCTTCCATATAAAGATCATTTGGTGTTAATGTTAAAAAATTTCTTCCAGTCCATTGATTTATTCCATAACATGTAAAATTGATTGCTTCATTTAAATATTTTTGAAATCCAAATGGAATATTAGTTGTTGTAATAAATTCTTCTTGTTTCTGTAACTGTTCACTTTTTATAAATTGTTTACTCATTTGACTAATAAAATATCGGAACCATGCTAATCGACAATCACATACAAAAGGATTTCCAATAATGTTTAAACCACCTAACCAATAAATTTGATTTGATTCATGTATATCATCATTTACATTATCCGTTGATAATTCTTGTTTATCATGATAATATTCTTTTTCAATGAACCAAGTTGGTTTCAAAGGGATGATACTTTCAAATGGTTTTTTAAAACCTAATGCATATGCACATCTTTCCATAGTGATTAAAAGATTATAACTTAAATCTAATCTTAATAAATGATTCATTTCATCTTTTGAAATATAGTCTTCCTCAATATCATTTTCTATTTTATATTCTTGTATTGTTAAAAGTTGATTTTGTGTTAATACTAAACTATTTAATTTATTCAAATTTTCAAATAATCCAGGTGGTATATATTCTAAATAATTTCCAGATAATATTAAACTTTTTAATTGTTTTAAATGTGTTAAACCTAAATTTAAATAAATTTGTTTATTTACATTTTCTTGTATAGTATAGTTACTATGTTGATTCTTTGGATGATATATTGATTTGATGAACATATTAGCTTCTAATTGACAATTAATTAAACTTAAATGTTCAATACTATTTTTAATTGGTTGAAATATTTTCTCCCAATTCGCTTGTCCATTTTCTAATTGAACACTTATTAAACGTATAGAATTTAAATGTAATTCATTTAATTGAACTTCATTTATATTAGAATGATCATTTAATTGAATCCAATGATCATTAAATAATTCTAATGGATTTTCACTTAAATGTAATATTTGTAAATGATTAGATATTGAATTCATTGGAATATTATTAATACCAATGGATGTTATTTGTAATTCTTTTAAATAAGGCCATTGTATACTAAATGATTCAGGCAGTTTCTCTAATGGTATTTGATTAGAATTAATACTAAGTAATTGAAGATTATGAAATTTTTTAATGGCATTTATAAAGTTAAAATTAGGAAATTGATTAAAACCTATGTATAATTGTTTTAATTGGTTACCTAAATGAAATAAATTTAAACTAGATAAATCTTTATTATCATTGTTGTCAATTAGATTAGTTAGTCCACAATTTTGAATATTTAACTGTTCTAAATTTTTATTAACATAATCACCTAAATGTAAGTTTAAACTGGTTTCGATAGATTTTATATTTGTTGCATCACTAATAGATGATGATAATGTTTTACCTATTGTCATTTGTAAATTTGTTCCATCCAAACTGAATAATTTTAATGTATATAAATATTTTGCCCATATATGAGAATTTTCTAACAATTTCCAACCATCACCAGATTGTTGTTCTATTCTTAATTTTAAAAGTTTATTTTCTAAATTATCCGATGGAAATGCTTCATTGTGTATTCTATTCAAATTATTATTTATCATAGTTAAAATTTTCAAATGTTTTATCCAACCATGAAATGCATACTGTGGTATACCAATAGACATATCAATATTTTCTAAATGAAGTGATTTTAAATTGTGTAGATTTTTTAATTCTTGAAATAAATTTCCAGATATTTTCTTCAATTCTCCATTGAAATAATTTTCAATATAAAGTACGTCCAGATCAGATAAACCTTTAAGACATCCATGTTGAAATATATGTAACGATAATCCTTTCAGAATAAGTTTACGTTCAATAATTCCATGATATGTTGTCATATCATTAGGATTATTCTTCATGATATTTTCAAATGTACCAGATGTACATATTTCAATATTGGGATTATTTTCAATATGTATGGTACTAATTAAATAGTTATTATCGGATTGAATTATCATTGGTAATCTATTGCCAAACTGTGATGTAATATCCTCTCTACAAATAATCATTTTAGCAGTTGGATATATTGGATCTGATTGTTCAATACATGGTTGAAAGTGTTCTGATTCATGTAAATAGTCTACAAGATTATGATTAGATTGTAATGAATTATTTTTATATAACTTGATTGCATATGTTGTGGTTACAAATAATAACATACCATAAATATACGAACATAATGTTACCAGGTAGATTAGTTGCTTTCTTTGATAAATAAACATTTTAATTCCATGATGAATATTTACTTAGGTTTATCGATCACATGATTGATGTTAAAGAAAGTACAATTGATCTATTATGTAGATAAAATGGGAATTGCATATCGATTGAATTACTCGTCTATCATTTTCTCAGATATACATTAAAATATTCCATATTTTCATGATTAACTGTTTGATATTTAATTTCCGTAGTAGTCACAGTTCACATTACCTTATCATAGCTTTTCATAATGATTAGTATGAAAGTGAACTTTTCTTAGTTATATACGCAATTTTATTTTAGATTCTTATTGGTCTATTGATTGTGCATGATGTTGATTTATATTATGAAATGATTGGTTGATAATCACTGTCTTTTCTTAAGTTTGACGATTACGAACTACTGTCTGGCATTAACATCTAATTTAAGGTATCAGTAATGTCTAAATACTTGTGACTAGTTATCCAATAGTATTATATATTTTCTGTTGTTTTCACTAACTATTTTAACCTTTTGTGATAGCAATGATCTAGTTTTTTTGTTGTTCTGATGATTCATAAAAAGGTGTATTTTTACCTTAGTTATGATTATCGCATATACTCCGCCCTTCATAGTAGTATCTAAATTCAAAATAACTGTATTGTAGAGATGCCTCCAATTTATCTCGTTTCGCAACACTAATCTATTATCTGAAACTAACACATTTTATATCCTTTAATGGATTGGGCTAATTTATTCATTTTATTTAAGCATATAAACATTGGTACAAGGAGGCTCAGAATATATATGTGCCATACCTCATCATTAGATTTGTTTGTGCGACGGCTAGGATACTGCCCGGGCGCTCAAACCGAAGCACGTGGTTTCCTTAGGGGGCCACTCCCCGAGTCTTTGATCTAGAGGTCTAACCACGCAAGAGTGGATCATCGCTAGGAAATGCAGTCTCATTGTAGCCGGTGACCGAAAATAGGTTCAAACGCCATTTGTTCCCTCAGGATCCTGGAGCCCATGTGCACCGTTTGCTTGGAATAAAGGTTCTCCAACTCCCTTGGTGGATCCTCCGTATCTACCAACCCGGTTAAAATACCGTACAAATCATAAAATAGTCAAATCGAATGATAATCTCATCTATCATTAGTTTAGTAATGGTTACATCACTCTACTTTCCAGAACTGTTCTGAATGGTTTAACTAGTCGAGTAATGTTATGTTTGCTCTCATATAAGAAAAATTATAATGAATTTAATATAATTTCAATTCCTTAAATAGATTTTTATTATTATTTTAAAACTAGTAAATAATTATTGAAATAAAGTTTATACGGATGTTGAATTTTTAAATTGTTGTATTTATTTTTCAAGTGAATATCTTGATACATTTGCAGTAAACCTTTTTTAAAAATTTCGTTAATAGACCACTTCTGTAAGATTTACAAGTGTCGAAATCCGCCCTTTTGATACCACTTCCCCTCTTTTCTTAATATGAGTGTTGCTTTACATAGTGAAATTAAGACTAACTTGGTTGACAAGTACGTGAATATTCTTATTATTTAATGTTTATGTTGGAAGATTATACGTGCATCAATCTGTCTGGTGGTGATGTTGGAAGATAGAAATAATTGACTATATGTATATATAATATTTTGTATCATGTCACCCGAATTCCTCAACCAACGGTTAAAACTACTTGTATCTCAACCAGGAAGTTCTATGAAGTCACTGACAATTTACCGCCCACACCTACCTTTGTTCTAACTCACATCTATGCCTGCTAGCATTCCACTTCGAGCTACAAGGTATATGTACGCTCATGTCATCAGTGTTATACGGTTATTCCTTCATTTATAGTTCGCTACGGCAATTTGAAATTACTATATATATATATATATATATATATATATATATATGTATATATTCTCATTAAGGTTGTGATACTCTTGATTTAAAAAAAAACTGTCCACTAGTTCCACTATTCCAACATCTTGGTAGTTCCAAATCATGTTACTTTTTTAGTTATCTAAACTTCTTTCCAACTAACATTATTTTTTGTAGTAACTTTCTTATTTTCAATTATTTGTTGATAAACCTTCTTTATTATTTATGAGTTATATTTGTAGGATGAAGTGTCTTCCAAGCAAGTATATATTCAAGTAAAGGAATAACTGACTTATACATGAAATCTAGATCAACCTGTTCTTTTCTCCTTTAGGTTTGGCGTTATTAAGTCAATAGGTATCATCTATTCATGATTCACAATTGTCTTACTCAGTTAATCACTAACAATGTGTGAACAACTTCAACATTTTTTTTACTTGATAAGAAGTTGTGATGGGAAAGTACTAAGGTGTACAAGTTTAGCTTTTTCTTGTATGTCAGTGGTTGACGTTTATGTAATGTGACTCATTCACCAATTACATGGATCTCTGTGGCCATCATACAGTCACTTTATTTGTATGTAAGGAGCTTATAATGTAGGGTTTCTTGCCTGCTACCATTAGCCACCATCGTACATCTCAACATAGTGCATGCGATATCGATTGATTTAGACTAGTAGCTACACTGCAACCTGATCGACAGAATTTAATGAGTACTAAAAAGAATATGACATACATGTTATCGGTCACTGCTCTGTGATCAATCGATTTTAATGTTTACCTATTTGCTCAAACTGAAATAAGCGGAGGGATATTCAAACCTGCAACCTTCTAGTTTGAAACCGAGGTGTTCAAACGAATAAGCGGCTGTTTTACTGTGAACAGATATTATTATTGAGATTAGCTTTTACATTAAAATATCGATAGAAGTTCCATTGTTGAAGCCATATACTTATTTTTATTAAAGTAATTTGTTATATCTTGTATGTTGAACGCTATATTCAGATACTAAGCTATTCGGATAACCCCAGGCTAGCACTACTCTGCGACTTGAACACCAGTAAGAAGACACGAGTATGAGAGAAGTACTTTACTACAAGGTTCATTTATGTACAGAAAAACAGGGGTATTATAGTAATTAAAAGACCTTGAGATTCCATAGTAGCAGTATGTTAAACAGCCAATCAGGACCTCGTTATTTTAGTAGCATAGCTTCTAACTAATCGCTGATTGGTTGGGCTCTTTATGAGCCTCTGGAGGCTCTGATAGAGTTTACTGTAAGCCGACTTAACACCTCCCCTTTTTTGAAGAAGCGGGGTAGGTATCCAGACTGCATTTGCTGACTTCACCCTCCCCCACGAAACAATGTTGGGTCCCCAACTTTCGACATAGTGCCGTTGCTGCAGATTGAATTTATGCGACGATCTAATAATTTCAACTTTTCTATCCAATCAAGTCCCAATAAGTCGAGTGCTGGCCGTTCTGTCAAAAATATTACTCCCTTCTTTGTAAGCTCTGCGACTGTGATTTTACAGTGAACCTCACCAGCAATGTTTATAATCCCCCCAGATGCGCCGTGTGCTGACTGATAGGTTGAAAATATTCTGGGCCTCCCAATTTTCTCCCACGTCCTCCTGCTTATAAGCGTTATATCGGAGGCTGTGTCTAGCTGTAAGCGGGCATCGTACCCGTTAATCTTGAGGGAAACATACTTTCTACGATTATGGGAGCCGATTCTGTTAGCAGCTACCGTCACCTTGGCTGTGCGTGGCTTGAATCTTTTAGAATAAACTTTAGGTTGACGGCGTTTTCGGGTTTTGCAATGACTTCCTTTGTGTCCCATCCTGGAACACGTAGTACAACGATGACTTTTAAACGGACAAAACCTTTTGAAATGCCAACCTCCGCATAACCAGCATGGGGATGATGGTTTACCGCTGTCATTTCGATCATTCTGTATGCTGGAACCTTGCTCGACTTTCCTCTCAACAGCATTAACGTGGAGGAACTGGTTAGTGTTTTCTACCATCGAGGTATCGTGCTTCAAATTCACTAACCTTTGACATTCATTAGTCACTTCCTGCAGGGTCATGTTGGGACAATGCTCAAGTTTGCTTAGGATTCTCGTTCGGATGTCATCATCCTCAGGTGAACGCAGGCTACAGACAAATACTAAGCATTTAAACTGGTCTTCAGACATGGAAGACAACTTGAACCTCTCGCATTCTCGGTTCACAATACCTGCATGTTTCACCCAGTCATCTCCTGATTCTTTCGTTATCTTCAAGCACTGGTAACGGATATTAAATAGAGACGACTGTTCTCCAAAGATTTGAGACAGGGTTTGAATTGTTTCATCAAAACTAAAGTCTCGTGGGTTCTTCGGAAGAATAAAGTTACTATAGCGTTCATGTTCTGTTGTCCCAAGCTTCCTTAAGAGCATTCTGACCTTGGCGGCGTCATCAAGTTTTCTAAGGTCGACCTTGAATAAATCTTCGTATTTCCTGAACCAGGTTTCGAAGGTAATACCAGCCGAACCATCGAAATTAAACTCATGGATAGAATTAATAATATGGTCGACATTAGATTTAGAAGCGTCATCTATAGCACCAGTTTGACTTAGGTTCAATTTCTGCTTTAAAGTCTCTATGATACGAACCTGGAACTGCTCAAATCGTTTCTCTTGACGCCCCAGCAAGGCTTCAAATTGTTCAAAGGTAAATGACATCTTGATAAGCTAACCCCGTCGCCACTGTTATATCTTGTATGTTGAACGCTATATTCAGATACTAAGCTATTCGGATAACCCCAGGCTAGCACTACTCTGCGACTTGAACACCAGTAAGAAGACACGAGTATGAGAGAAGTACTTTACTACAAGGTTCATTTATGTACAGAAAAACAGGGGTATTATAGTAATTAAAAGACCTTGAGATTCCATAGTAGCAGTATGTTAAACAGCCAATCAGGACCTCGTTATTTTAGTAGCATAGCTTCTAACTAATCGCTGATTGGTTGGGCTCTTTATGAGCCTCTGGAGGCTCTGATAGAGTTTACTGTAAGCCGACTTAACATAATTAAAAATGTTTCTCTTGCATATTATAACTGGTTTTGTAATTTTTATTACCTAATCACTGGTCTCCATTTTTTTGGACATTTGTTTCAGCTATTTCATTTCCCATGCACTTCTACATCATCATTCCCAGGATCCGATTGCACAACAAGATCTCTTTCAAATGAGCCTGCTATAAAATTACATGGGAATTTATATTTTTCTCATATAGATGTAGATAGCCCTTCAAGGATAACTTCCGGTTCACAGGTGAGCAATAATAATTTACGCGAATAATCTCTGTTATAATTAGATATGCCAAGACTTTATCAATGAGATTCACATTGATTTTACTCATTTG